ACAAAAATTACATGCAGCGCGGTGAGGTTGTCGCGACGCTGCAGGACAAGGCGGACCGTGCCGCCGTGGCACAGAAGGCCGACAAGGTGTTTGTGGGCGAGCTGGAGAAACGACTTTTGGGGCGCATAGCCGATTTGGAGGAGCGCCTGACGATCTACGAGGCGGAGCGCGCGGAGTTTCGCAGCATTCTGCGCTCCGTTGTGGACTTCCACCGGCGCGGCGAAGAGGCGCGCCACCGCGGCAACAGCCACCGCGGCAGAGGCGGCGGCAGAGGCGGCGGCAGCGGCGCCCACCACACGACGGGGGTACTGCCCAACTTTGTGGTGGTCGACGAGGCGGTAGAGCCCCGGCAGGCGCGGGGGCTTCAGTCGTTGGTGGCGTCGGAGCCCCGTGCACCGGGGCACGCACCGGCGTCACGCAGAACGCACAGGCCCGACTCCGCGAGCTCCCCGGCGTCGGCAAGGCAGCAGCAAGAGCAGCAGCAGGAGCAGCGGCAAACTCAGCTCCAGCAGCAATCTCCGGGTGGCACGGCAGAAGCAGCTGTGGACGGGGGGATGCAGTCCGTTGGCCTGACGGTGAATCAGGAGGCGTATGCAAACTATGTGTCAAGCGAGCTAAATCGCCGCGTCGTTGAGGGCCTCCCTCCGCTGCCTTATGAGCGGTGGCGTGAGCCGTAATCCCTGCCGGCTGCCACCTCTTTTATTTCTACTCGATGTATGCTACTGAAGAGATTCATGTGGGACTGACTTCCACCGCTTTTTATTTCTCCTTTGTTGCTTTTGTCTTTCATGTGGCTGCCCTACAAAAAAAAAAGTGTTGTTGCATGTCTGTTTCTCGTCCCTATAGACGGCGAGCTTTTTGCGCCTCTCTTCGGTTTCCTTTTTCGTCGCCCTGCCGCTCAGGGAGCGTCACCCCACGTGTTTACGGCGAATGTTGTTTTCGCCGGCGAAGATGTGTATTGTGTTATTGCTTCTGGTGCTGTGCGGACCGGCAACAGGTGCCGCCGCCCAGGTTGACGTGCACGTTGTCAACCTCACCGTTGTGGCCGTCGGGTGGCCGAGAACAGTCGAAGAACTGTCGCATTATACGAAAACTGTGACGTCTGTTGTCTGCGGCCCACTGGCCAGCGCCGCCGCCGCCGCCAACCGAACTCCAATCCCGTGCGGCGGCCTACTGGCGCCAGTAGGTGAAGAACAACTTTCAGTGCAGGTGTCTGCGTCGACGGCCTCCCCGGGGAATGCATTTCTGGTGCGCCGCACATTCTGGGACTGGGCGCAAACCAGTGCCCCCGCCATGCTGGAGGCCCTCACCAATGCCGTGTCCGCCGTTGCACCGACGCCACTGTCGACGCTCTCGAAGGTGGCCGGGGTTTACACGGTGCCGTGCCGCAGCAACGCTGGCTCGGCGGTTCTCCCACTGTGTGAGACCACGAACAACTGCCTGACGTCCATTATCGTGGATGGGTTGGAGGAGGATGTGAGTAGCGTGTTCTGCGGCTACGTCCCCAGCCCATGCGGCTCTTACATCGCGGCGAAAATGCTCTCTTCAGACCAGGTGCTGGTGAACATCACCAATCTTCCGAACACACTCGAAGTGGCCCTTCTGTTCATGGATCAGGTGCGCAGCTCTGTTCTGCACGCCAGTCGCATTCAACTCTACTCGGATGGCCAGTTGGCGCTAATTTACGCTACAGACGAGAATGAATTGTACGATAAAGGCATCAAGGTGCTGCCGCAGTGCGGTGTCGAGACGGCGCTGTGGATGCTCTCGTTTATTGCCCTTATTCCCATACTGTTTCTTCTATTCTGCTACCTTTGGTGCATGGGGCGTCATCACGCAAAGAAGTTGGAGCGGAAGGCCATCGTTGAGGATGAACTGCGGGCTCAGGGCATGAGCGACGCTCAGGGGGCGGCGGGGAGTGCGCCGGGCGCACAGCGATTCGCGACCTACGCCAGTGACTACCCACAAGAAATGTCTGCAAGCCAGGTGAGGCCAGAGCAACAGCAAACGGATGCGTATGGAGGCTACAACCAGTTCGTCGCTGGGGAGAACTTTGCGTACCCGCAGGAAGTCGCTGATGACGCGCAACGAGAAGGCGATGCGGTAAATGACGTGTATGCACAGCAGGCGTACAATGAAGTGGAGGAAGCCGCATTTGGCGACGAGTACGTGGAGCCCAGTCTCGCAGCGACTTATCAAGACGGTGGGATGCGTGTTGAGGAGAGTCAGAGTCATGCGCCCACGCGGTTCTCAAGTGAGGAGGAGTCCAGGCCGGTAGAGAAGGCGGGGTATGAGGGGAGCGGGCGGGGCACGGCATCACTGCGTGGCCGCACCTCCGCCCAAGTTGCCCCTGCCCACCGCCAAGCCCCCTTTTCTGTTTTGTTGTACTGTAGGCGGTGGTCGTGGGAGCAGCGTCTGGCCGGACAGCGCACGGCTTCCCCTGTTGAACTGCCAGCCCACCGATGCTGCCTGTCCGGCTGTGGCCGGCGGCTTCCTCTCTTCCCTCCGCCGCTGACGTCTCTTCTCTTGAATTTGCTCGTCTCAAGGCAAACACACAGCCGCGAATAATACGAAACCAACAACAACAACAACAACAAAAAGTGATTTGAAGCAACACTCCAGTCCAAGGGGTAACAATGTCAGATGGACAGCCCGAGTGGACCAACGCGGCCGCAGCGGCGTTGCAAGAGGCCGTTGCCACGGCGCGCAAGCACAGCAATGGCTACCTGGACCCCGTCCACCTGGCGTACGCGCTCTTCAAGGACGAGAACGGACTCCCCTCGCGCGTCCTGAAGAAGCTTGGGGCGGGGGTAGTGTTGGACGCCTTCATGGGCCGCATTGAGGCAGTCCCCACGCAAAGCCCCGCACCGACGCAGCCGCGCCCCAACACCGATATGACGCGTGTGCTAAACACCGCGGAGCAGAAGCGGGTTGCGTTGGGTGACACCCTCCTTGCCGTTGACCACCTCCTTCTCGCGCTGTACGAGAGCAAAGACGTGGCCAAAATCCTCAATGCCGCTGGCGCCGGCAGCAAGGCGGTGGAGAAGGCCTTGGTGGAGCTGCGCAAAGGAAAGAAGGTTACTTCCGAGTTTCAGGACCAGAACTACGAGGCGCTCTCCAAGTACGCCACGGACCTGTGCAAGCAGGCGGAGGAAGGCAAGCTGGACCCGTTGATTGGTCGGGCCGATGAGGTCTTGCGCACCATCCGCGTCCTCTCGCGGCGAACGAAAAACAACCCGATCTTGATTGGCGAAGCGGGCGTTGGCAAAACCGCCATTGTGGAGGGCATTGCGCAGCAGATTGTCCGGGGCGACGTGCCAGACACCCTCGCTTCTTCACGCATCTTTTCTCTGGACCTCGGCGCGCTCGTCGCCGGCGCGAAATACCGTGGCGAGTTTGAGGAGCGCCTCAAGAGTGTCCTGAATGAAGTGCGGGAGAGCTCCGACACCATCATTCTCTTCATTGACGAAATCCACCTTGTGCTCGGGGCGGGCAAGTCGGAGGGCGCAATGGACGCGGCGAACCTTCTGAAGCCGATGCTGGCACGCGGGGAGCTGCGCACAATTGGCGCAACCACCCTGGAGGAGTACCGCCAATACGTCGAGAAGGACGCGGCCTTTGAGCGGCGCTTCATGCCAGTGCACGTAAAGGAGCCAAGCCTGGAGGAGTGCATCAGCATTCTCCGCGGGTTGAAGGAGCGTTACGAGACACACCACGGCGTTCAGATCACGGACAATGCGGTGGTGGTTGCCGTTCAGTTGGCCGACCGCTACATTACGGGTCGCTTCATGCCCGACAAGGCCATCGACCTTATTGACGAGGCGTGTGCGAACGTGCGTGTGCAGCTCAGCTCACGCCCGGAGGAGATTGACCAGCTGGAGCGCAAAAAACACCAGCTGGAGATTGAGGCAAAGGCGCTTGAGCGTGACAAAAAGGAAAAGTCGTCGCAGGAGCGATTGAAGGCCGTCAGGGGGGACATTCAGCGCGTGGAGGAGCGTCTCCAACCACTACTGGAGCGATACAATGAGGAGCGCAAGCGCATCGATGAGCTGCAAGAAATGCAAACCCGCCTTGACGAGAAAAAGACGAAGCTGGAGCGGGCTGAGCGGATGCGGGACATGGAGCTCGCCGCCGACCTCAAGTACAATGCCATACCCGCCATTCAGGACCGCATCCGCTCGCTGAAGGAGGAGATTGAGAGGGAGAAGGCCTCCATGGTGCAGGAGAAGGTGACGGAGGTGGAAGTTGCGGCGGTGGTGGCCCGCTGGACGGGCATTCCGGTGGCAAAGCTGAGCAAGACCGATCGTGAGCGACTGCTGCACCTCTCGGACCACCTGCACCGCCGCGTGAAGGGGCAGGATGAGGCGGTGCAGCGCGTCTCCGAAGCCATTCTGCGCTCGCGCGCGGGCCTTTCGCGGCCGCACACTCCCACCGGCTCCTTCCTCTTCCTCGGCCCAACGGGCGTCGGCAAAACGGAGCTGGCGAAGGCGGTTGCTGTTGAGCTCTTCGACGACGAGAAGCACATGGTGCGCATCGACATGAGCGAGTACATGGAGCAGCACGCTGTCGCCCGCCTCATTGGGGCGCCGCCGGGCTACGTGGGCCACGAGGAGGGCGGGCAACTCACGGAGCCCGTGCGCCGTCGGCCGCACACGGTGGTGCTGCTCGACGAGGTGGAGAAGGCCCATCCCTCCGTATTCCACGTGCTGCTGCAGGTGCTGGACGACGGCCGGCTGACGGACTCGCACGGCAGGACCGTCGATTTCAGCAACGCCATCATCATCATGACCTCCAACCTCGGGTCGGAGCACCTGGCCCACGTGGGCACCTCGCCAAAGGCGTGGGAGGCGACACAGGAGAAGGTGATGCAGGTGGTGCGCAGTTACTTCCGCCCGGAGTTCATCAACCGCCTCGACGACATTGTGCTCTTCCGCCGGCTCGGCTTTGGGGAGCTGCACGACATCATCGACCTTATCATCGCGGAGGTCAACGAGCGGCTGAAGAAGCAAGACTTTGTGCTGGAGATAACGGATGAGGCGAAAAATTTTGTGCTGGAGAATGCCTTCGACGCCGAAATGGGTGCCCGCCCGCTGCGTCGTTGGGTCGAGAAGCACATCACCACCGAGGTGAGCCGCATGATTGTCGCGCAGCAGCTGCCGCCTAACAGCACCGTGAAGGTGTCGGTCAACGGCAGCCAGGGCAAACTCGCCTTCATGGTGAAGCGCTCCTCGTCGTCGTAATGGCGTGAGGTGCGTAAATTTCAAGGGGCGGTGGTGCGAGTGGGTGAGGGGCGCAGAGGGCTCAATTCCCTCCAATTACTATTATTATTATTATTGCTCCTATTATCATTGTTATTATTACTATTATTGATTGATTGATTGATTGATTGATTGATTTGTTTATGGCTTTTGTTTCTTGCGTTTGCTGCACCTGCTCTTTTTTACCTCCCAATTACTGGCACGATCTTTGAGTCCACCGCCACGATTAGTGGGCAAGCCTCTTCAGACCATCACTGATGCTCCAACATTTTTTAAATAGGAAAAACTTTTTCTTTCTGATACAAACGGTGCGGCACGAAAGGAAAA